AAACAGCTCTTTAAGTAGTCATTGCTAATTGCTGTCTGCTATAGCTATCCTCTTTCCTAGTCACCATTTCGTTTGCAACACGATGTTATTTTACTCATCATCATCATCATCATCATCATCATCATCATTTTGATTGTGCATGGTTTGTCGTCGTCTTTCATCACATTGGCAGCTACCTCGCCTACGTAACTATCTACATGAGCTTTCTAAGACGTTCGATGATCTTTGTTCTTCTTTCTTCGGCCGGCTTCTTCCTTTGCTGTACAAAGGGTTCCTTGACCATGTAGCAGGATCAGTAATCGCAAGCTGCTTGACGTACTACAAGAATTGACAGGAGAATAAAACTACTGACAATTCATGTAGGACGAAGCAGCAGCTATCATTGGACTCTCGATGTGAAGGCTACCTACGCCTACCATTTGCAGGCGATCTGTGCCTGCGTACTGCAATGCAGGGCTTCCTGAAGAGAATTCTCTCTCAAGGCAAGATTAACAAGAAGAGAAAACGTTTCCTCTCAGTGTTAATGATGTCGTGACGAGAGATATCCCCCATAACCTGAGAATCCTCATACATCTATCTATAACCTGTGAAGTCTACGCAAGAGTAGCATTAGGTGCAATTTCAGGTACACACACAAGCGAAGGTAAGGGTTTCCTACGCTTGCGTGTTCCCGAAATATGATTGCAGCCTATGATATTCTTGTGTTTACACCACGGGCTACTAACTTAAATAACAGTCGTCCAGCTCCATGTTGTCCCTCCGGCGATGAAAGAGCAGCGTGGATGGATCTCGAAGACTACCTACGCTTACAATTTGTAAACGGTCTAGCTTATGGTGTGTGCGTTGTCCCATATTGCCCTTGATAACCTGCAACAAGGTGTTGGCCCTTGTCGTGAAGGAACGCCTGGTCGTAGGTTTGTAAGACTAAACTGTAAGCTCGTCTACCCTCACAAATTTGGTAGCAATTACTCATCTGAAACGCTTGATTTTCAATCGTTAGTTTTCCTCGTTCCTTCTAATAGAGATCAAACTGTTAGCAACCTTTAATGTTTTGGTCGTTTTACGTAATGCAGACCCAAATTTGTGAGGCTTAACTAATTAACTACCTGTAACAAGAGAAACCACTCAACTTATAGGAGGTGGCCAAATGAGGTCCATCTACAACAGTTGAATGGTCTTTAGTCTCAAGTCTCCTAACATTACATGAATAAATCACTATCTGGTTGAACCTTGCGGATAAAAGCTTCACTTGCTCAGCGCGTTGACCGTCAAGTGAAGTGTAAGAGTGAAATCGAATTGGCGCAACTAAGCGGGAGACTGAAGCGAAGGCGGCGACGACGACGACGACGACGACGAAGATGTCGACGGCGAAATGCATCCGAAAGACGAACGAAGAAACGAACTTAAGCCAAAATTCTGTCGCTGACCGAATACCTGCAAAGAAACCCAAGATTGAAAAAGGGATAGGGGAGGCCCTTACCAGCCCAGGGAACGCAACTAACTACTCTAACAACAATTAAGTTAAGCCGAAAAGAAGTCCAGGGACTTCAAGCCGAACGTGTGTGGAAAGTATGCTGTGCAAGGTTCATCCAGCGCTTTACACATTAACCCCCCTTGACCCAACCCATAAGGAATGGACCTGACCTGAATGACATGTGGCTCGGAAGCTGATGCTGTCTCTGGAAGCTGGGCGTGCTGTGTAAATATCAGACTGATCGGTAACTATTAGGAGGGTAGCCTGGTCTGGAGGTCTGTCTGAGGAGAATGGTCTAGTCTGTTGGACTGTCCGAGGCTGGTGATCTGCTCTGGTGGACTGCTAGTGGAAAATAACACGGTCTATTGATCTGCCAAAGGAATTGGTCTGAGGATCTGCGTCTTAACGGAAAGTTCCTTGGTGTGGTGAAAAATGGGCTGATCTGTTGATCTGAAAATTGCAAGGGAGAGAAAGCATCGTTTAAATGAGGAAATACACATAAAAAGTTCCAATTACCATGGCAAGAGGTCAAGCCATTTTATTCATATTCAAATTGCAGTTTTCCCCGCTTTTGGGGTAAAATGCATGTTTTAGAATGCTGTACAAATTTCGCAAGTTGTAAGCATAGAATTTCAATATCTTAAGCCTCCTTTGCAGTAAATAACTGGAGCCACTGTCGAAGTATGGGCACCACTCCACGCGAAACTAGCCAATGCAAAAAGAAATTAAGTAACTAAAAAAGAGTAAAATATATTGTCGTAAAAACCTGCGACTGTTATTGGTCATGTAATTATATTAAGCGTACATAGTAGTAAGAATAGTTCAACCGAATAACCAGAGAAAGTTCGACGGCACGATATATTTGTTATCACGCATACACCTCAACTACAATTAACTCTCGTTACTTTAATTTATGGTGTTTCTTTTCATAAAATTACAGCATTAGGAAACATTATGTTAACAATTTGAGTCTATGTAGAAATTTCATCAAATTCATCATGAAATTTTCCCGCAAGATATGCGGTGTTTCACGTGTCAAAGCCGTATACATAGGTCTTACACAAAGTTAGTCTTAAAGGAGTCCAGTTACCTCATTTTGTAAATACGCCTTGAAAATTATGAAGTTTCAGTAAAAAAAAAAACGTTCACTAAATCAAAATAAATTCATAATGCTAGACAATGACCTGAAGGTTGCTTGTAATGTTACTTGCCGACACAAACCGTCTTGGCCACGTGTGTTATTTCGTTCGGAATCAAATCTCATCGCTATTTCACACTGAGCTTAATATTTTGTAGTTTTTTACTTCAACTAGTAATTTCCTTAATGTCTAAAAATTAGCGAACAGGGAAATTAAATAATGGGACAAAATAATCTAGTTTTAAGTGTAGTTTGTCAGACTAAGGGTTGCAATTTCACTGCTAAAGGTATATGCAAAGCGTTAAGCGTCTACAGTTTGTAATTTCTTCTAGTTATCTTAGAAGTTTCTTACCTTTAGAGTTTTTATAACAAAGTAAAGAATGAGGGCAAGAAAAACTGGCTTGCGTAAGAGTAATAACTTCTTGAAGTCCACAAAACTGTTTGTCGCATAACGTACTCTCGTGTGTTTGTTCACAGTGCCAAGTGAATAATTATCACAGAGTTCAAAATTTTGAACGTGGCGCCGCCGAGCAACCTCGCCATCAGGAAAGTGTTTCCTGATTGGCTCTCATCATGCACGTGCCAGCGTGGCAGAAGGGAAAAAATACTGGAAGAAGAAGGAAACAAACAAGCAAACAAACAGCAAAAAGGAATATCTTCAGGGCTAGTAAAAAAAATATATATATAATAATAATAATAATAGTAATAGTAAAACGTTACATCTGCAAAGTTTATATCTTATATCGATCTTCAGGAATGGAATTGCCTAATTGTTGCAAATTGTATGTACATCGAGAACAAAGTGTTGCCTGCAGTATTGCAGAAAGTGTTGAAACGTCTGGCTATGACCTGGAGACCTTTACTTAAAAAAAAGAGATTGGGGGGTCTGTCTCATTTGGTGGCCTGTTGTATGCGAGGATGTGGGTTTGTTTACGTAACTGTTTTAACCGAAAATGCTTTGGAATGCTCTAGAAAATTTCGACGAAAAAATAAAACAAAAATATTGTGCAATGTACTGCCTAAAAAAAAGGGACACACGATGATGGCTTTCATTCAAAGCATGAGTTCTGTTTGGTCACCCTTGAACAAATTTAGCCCTGTCGAATTCATCAAGGATTTTGGGCACGGTCCTTGCTCACAAACAACATCTCTGGGGAGTGAAATAACAAAAACTCATCTTCCGAAAATGTTAGGAAAACTGTTAAAAGTAAAATTTTGAAAATCTAAAGGGTGTTTTTCAAAAGTCAAAACTGGCCGGCGGGCGGATGGATAGTTTTGAAAACTACGTGATCCTATGTTTAGAAATAGGCTGATCTGGCTAGCACTGGAAAGTTCTGATAAATAGCGGACTGAATACCATTTACAGGGGCGGATCCAGGATTTTATTAGGAGGGGGTGCACTCGTCTCTTGATCTACTTCAACACCAATAAACCAAATAGTTTTTTTTTGCAGAATACCAGTTGTATTAGAAAACCGCAGGTCATCAGGGGGGGGGGGAGGGGCTGCGCACCCCCTGCACCCCCCTGCCTTTACTACTCAACTGGTTCAGTTGACCGGCCAGTTTTGATAACAACGTAAGCGTCCTTGATGGAAAAATAGATTAAAGTTTTTACCCTTTCTCAAAAAATTTTTGAGAATTTGTCTCAGCTCTCGTATGCGACTTTACAAAAAGCTTCACCGGAAAGGGACGTTAGAAAATGTCGATGCTATTGTAAAAAGCAGCTTATAGACAGCAATTTTCCACACTCTTTCGGCTCTCATAGACCGAAGACACGAGGTCAAAATATTCAAACTTTGCAGTAAAAGACGTGGTTTCACTTACTGTGTTCTGATTGGCTACTTAAACGAAGAAGTTGCGCTCATCTTGAACGTTCTGGATTACCGGAGTTTCTCCCGCAAAAATAATCCCTCTGACCTCAAAATAAGCCTTTATATATCAAGTAAAGATGGCTAGAAACTTTATTTATCCACCAGAAAGGGAATTATCCTTCTTACATACATTGACGAACTATCAAAAAATACAGAATGAAAGAAATACAAAGATACTATTAGCGCGTGGAACGTTGAGTTTACAAAATGTTTATCCTAGTTTGACGTAAAGACCCGTTTTTATAGGGGTCGATGCCATTTGTGATATCTATAGGAATTGTCGAACACTGTTAAATCACCAAGCCTTTATGAACATGCAGGTTCAAGCTCTCTATTCCAAAAAAAAGGTCTACCTTAATTATGGGGAGTAATGCTTATCTCATATGACTGAGAGTGATTAAAAAAATATTTCTTTGACTAGAGAAGACTGTGTCTTTAAAATGACATCGACCCTGTATCAGAGAAAAATGTGCAAAAATGGGAAAATTGCTGCTCCGTTTAAACTCCATTGCATTAATCTAGTACAGCACGCCAAAGATTGCAAGCAACGAGACAGACAGGATGGCAAAAAGGTCGGCCGACAAGCCTCGGGCACTGCTATCAGTTGTAGTTGTTCTCTCCGTCGTCGTTGCTCGTACCGTCGTCGTTGCTCGTACCGTTGTCGTTGTTCGTGCCGTTGTCGTTGCTGTTATCATTTCTCCGCGCGTGAAAGTGACCGTAGCAAAGGTTATATTGGCATGTGCGCCTATCTCAGAATTACTATTTGGGGTGATACGCATGATGACGTCAACAGGCATAGTCGCCGCGTTATCTAAACTGTAGGTTAGTCCATTCTCCGTCCCAGCATCCCACGGGAGCAGGTCCATCGTCACGGTTTCTTTCCATCCATTCATTCCACAGAGATCATAGCTGTCAACTCCAACGAACCAATCAGGTGAAGGTGCGATCATGGTGATTAGAGAGACCATGGAGTACATGTTTTGCACCATGATTTTTGTGCTCGTGTAGCCACCTGGAGTGCTTACCGCCCCGGTTTTATAGACATTGGAGACAAAACCGGGCTTTTTCATCATCATAACTTCGCTATACAATGTTCCTTCCGCTCCTGTTAATGGAAAATAAAAGCAAATTTATTATTTGTAAGTGAGACAAAAAAAAAGTACAAGGGTGAATTGGAGGTTTGCAATCCTTAATCAGTGCAACCACGTAAAATTAACTTTATTACTCCTAGGGGCTTACATTTGTCTAATTTACACGGTATATTTTTTCTCCTCCGCATACCCTGATCAGTGTAATCCCGAGAAAAGTTGAACTCGTAATACGAAATAATAATGAAACAACGGAGAGTGAATATTAGTGCGTTGGCCAGGATATGTGAATTGCGCATTTTTCTTATTTTTAGAGGCTACAAATAAACGGAAGTCTAATTCCTGAGACATACGCACATTTTAATCGATTGTTTGAAACGTAATCAAGTCCACGCGCGACTTGATTACGATCTATTCTTCATCTTAGGTATTTCTCGCGAGAACAGACCTGTGGAACCAGGATACGAGCGACTGGCTCAGAGAAAATAATTTAGAATATTGTAATGGCGATTGACAACGCTGAATAAACGTTTGCTGACCTCTCCGAAAACCAACTTCCGGTAAATTTCAAGGATTTAATTGGACTAAAAATAACTTTGGTGAAATTCACATATCTATAACAGAGGTGTTAGAATAGGCGTTTTCCTTCTTTAACTTATTATTCTCCCTTGTAAGTAATGGGAAAAATTGACCCACCTATTTCTGCAACTTCTTTGACACCCGGTGAGGCTCTGGTCATATCACTCCACATTTTGTATTTGTATGAGTGTGTAGCAATGACAAGAGGAGAAAAGTGGGCTCCGCTTGGGAATCCATTGGGGTGGGTAGCCTGTGACCACTTCGCTTCAAACTTGACTGTGTAGTAGTACATGCCACTGCATTGATTCATGGTTGGTTTGTTTTGTCTCACGAACATCATCTTTCCCAGTGTTGGTATTGCTGACGCGGCAAGATACATAAAATTGGTTGGCGGTGCATTTCTAGTAATCTGGGTAATATAGCCGGGTGGCGTGGTAGCGGTATTTGCAGCATCGAATGTTGCCCCATCATCAGTACCGGCATCCCAGGGTTGTATATCATCAATTGTCCAGCTGTCCATCCACATTCCACTCGAGGCGTTGCAAAGAGATACTTTCATGATCCCGGTGAACCAATCAGGAGATGGAGCGAGCATGGTAACAAGAGACACATAAGGAAAGTCCTTTGTGACCTCGACTTCGATGTTCATCACGCTTTCTGTGCCGCTAATTGTCATATTACCGGACTTGATCTGTTTCCAGGCTGTCTTGGCAGACATGATGCGTTGCATTATTTCTTGCTCCAGCACGGCTGAGTTGCCTAATGAAAAATGGAACTAAAAAATGAGAATTGGTAGGCACGAAGTTCAGTTAAATGCGTAGCTAAAACAAAACTTAACTATGAGATAAAAATTGGCAAGTGTAACCCGCTTTAAAACTTTGCAGAGTATCTGCCCGCCGCAACTCGATTGGGAGGCTATTCCACAGCACTGCACCCCTATAGCTATTAATAGCTCTTTTTTAGGTAGTTTGTGTGGGGCTGAGGAATCGGAGCCAGTTTGCTGTCAGTGTCTCTTAGCGAATATGAGGTGACACTATCACGGTCTGAGTAAAAAGGTTGCTCAAGTAATCTGGAGCAAGACCGTTTATTGAGTACGCGCCTTTTGATTGGTTGAAAACCTACTGTTTATTGTGCCGGTAAACTCATAGAAAACTGAAACATGCTTTAAAGTTATTTTATCTAATATTCATTAGTGAATATTAGATCGAGTTGGTTCACTAATTAGTTGATTTAGAGCTCAGTGATGCACGTTGTTTTGCGATCCTAAGTGGACGCTCCCACATTACAGTTTACATCTCCCAAAATATGGCATTCCATCAATGGCATTCCATATTCTCGGCATCGAGAGAATGCGCAATGCGAGCGTAAACAGGCTTTGACTTCTTCGATATCACTTCAAAATTAAGTGTTTCATCACGCCAGCCATATTGATGGCTTAAGCCGATGAAACGGCGGTTGGTTTTTCAGGCTATTTAAGATCCATCCCTTTTGAAAACGCCTTAATCAGCTTGTGTTGCAGGTTGTCCAAAGTAGCTAATGCTATCCCGGTAGAGCCGTTTTGAAAACGGTCTACAGATTCAGGAAATTTCCGTAAGTGTACTTGGTACAAGAGCAGGCTGAACCACTTTCCCACTCATTTCCTTAGTTGTGTTTTTTTCCTGTTCCCAAATTATAAAAACAATACTCCAACCAAAGCCCGTTAATACAGACACTGAAGCCGGATCACAGAAAGTGTCGGTATCACCCTCGAAAGGTGATTTGTATTGCTAAAAATACCGCCATCGGAGAAATAGTTTGGTTAAGTGGCCGAGTTTTCTAGGCATCAGACTAGTAGTCTGTAGGCCCAGGTTCAGTTCCTAGTTGAGCCACAGTTTCACTGTAAGCACTAAAGCAATACGGAGTTTAAGATACTGTAGCGTATTCATTGTTACCGTAGTAACCTATTTACTTTTACAATAATCAGTGAAAGCACATGTACAGAGTAAAGACGTTTTAGAGCGACACACGTCAACCGGATGTTTACCGCTTTAGTGCGATTATCCCAACTTCCTCATTTTGTCAAAAACTGTAGATGGACTCTACTGGAGATGAATTCCTGAGAAAATATCCAATTTCAAAACCAAGAGAAAGATAAATTTGTCGCCGGGTTTGTTTAGTTCGATAATACGTTAAATATAGAAACTCTCACGTGGTTGGCCCGCAGTGACGGCAATGAGATGTATCAAAAGTGTGACGCACGTGCAAAGTTGTTGTTTTGCCCATCTAAACTATTGCTTTTTTGAAGTTTTCGTTGCCGCAGCCACCGTGACGTCTAAAACTCCCTAGTAAAAGACAGTGAGGAGTTGACGCAAGCACCCATGGTTTTGTGACTCGTCATGAAACAAGCGAGGCCTTCTATAAGAGCCCGCACTACTGTTCAGTGAAAATTTTGAATTCAGTTCACCGACCTCTTAAAGTTTCTTCTTTTTGAATTCAATTTCGTTCGTCTCAAAATTAAGCAGAATGTTACTTACCAGTTTCAGCAACATTTTTGACTCCTTGAGAAGCAGGCATTCCCGACATCCACAAAGGGTCAGATCTGAGCGAAGCTCCGACCAGAGGCGAAAAACGGCCGATCTTGGGGGTAAAAGGAAAAGCATTTGGATGCGTCATGTTGCTCCACATGCCATAAAACGTTAGCCCGTACTGAGCAACACCTTGGCATTCATATTTTGCAGAGTAAGCTGCTGAAAATAGGCTGAAAAGAGCGACCAACCAAACTGTCCCTACCATGTTGAAGATCACGGCCTACTTCGCCAGAGCTTTACAGTGAACGTTGCTGATGTGAGAGGTCTCTGCCTAAACTTATTCGTTTAAGAAATGTCATCTTGTTATATTGTTCTACAATTTTTGGTGACGCACTCGAGACGCCTTGTCATGCTTGTTTTACTAGCTTGGTTAACCTAGGTACTTGCCACAAGATTCTTCAAGAGGAGATCTTTTTGCACGACTAAAATGCTTCTTCTTTCACATCTTAACTTGGATTAACTTTTCCAAGTCTTGAAAGATCCATTTATTGTATTCCAAACCTTTATTCTTCATTTTGTTTCGAAGTAACCCGTGTCGGTATGAGGAATTTTGAACAAATAGTACTAATGAGTTATTAATCTATATCTGCTCTGACGTAATAGTTTCTTTGTTTGTAAGTTAGGGAAGCATGACAAGGCACTTGTGTTCAACATAACCGGAACACTTTAAAACTGATATAGCTAATTGTATATAAAGCTGGTTATTAAATAAAAAAAATCTTCATAAAACTTTCTGATACTTGCGAAACATGTGCTTTGGCCTGAAGATCTTTAATGAGGCAAACGTTTGTACAAGGGAGGGGAGGGGAGGGAAGGATACCGCCTAACTAGACCTCTTGTGTGCGAAGATGCACACAAGTAAAGATGGCTAGAAATTTTATTTGTCTACCAGAAAGGGAATTATCGTTGTTACACACATTGAAAAACTATCAAAAAATACAGAATGAAAGAAATACAAAGGTACTATTAGCGCGTGGAACGTTGAGTTTACAAAATGTTTATCCTAGTTTGACGTGAAGACCCGTTTTTATGGGGTCGATGCCATTTGTGACATCTATGAGAATTGTCAAATACTGTTAAATCAGCAAGCCTTATGAACATGCATGTTTAAGCTTTCTATACGAAAAAAAGGTCTACCTTAATACTATGGGGAGTCATGCTTATCTCATACAACCGAGAGTGATTTAAAAAAAATATTTCTTTGACTAGAGAAGACTGTGTCTTTAAAATGGCATCGACCATGTATAAGAGAACAATGTACGAAAATTGCAAAATTGTTGCACCGTTTAAGCTACATTGCGTTACTCTAGTACAGCACGCCAAAGATCGCAAGCAACGAGATGGACAGGAAGGAAAAAAGGCCGGGCGACAAGCCTGGGGCACTGCTATCAGTTGTAGTTGTTCTCTCCGTCGTCGTTGTTATCATTTCTCCTCGCGTGAAAGTGACTGTAGCAAAGGTTATATTGGCATGTGCGCCTATCTGGGAACTACTATTTGAGGTGATACGCATGATGACGTCAACAGGGTCAGTCGCCCTGTTATTTAAATTGTAGGTTTGTCCATTCTCCGTCCCAGCATCCCACGGGAGCAGGTTCATCGTCATAGTTTCTTTCCAACCATTTATTCCACAGAGATCATAGCTGTCAACTCCAACGAACCAATCAGGTGAAGGTGCGATCATGGTGATTAGAGAGACCATGGAGGACATGTTTTGCACCATGATTTTTGTGATCGTGTGGCCACCTGGAGTGCTTACCCCCCCGGTTTTATAGACATTGGAGACAAAACCGGGCTTTTTCATCATGTTAACTTCGTTATACAATGTTCCTTCCGCTCCTTTTAATGGAAAATAAAAACAAATTTATTATTTGTAAGTGAGACAAAAACAAAGTACAAGGGTGAATTGGAGGTTTGCAATCCTTAATCAGTGCAACCGCGTAAAATTAACTTTATTACTCTAGGAGCTTAAGTTTGTCTAATTTACACGGTATATTTTTTCTCCTCCGCATACCCCGATCAGTGTAATCCCGAGAAAAGTCTAACTCGTAATACGAAATAATAATGAAACTCCGGAGAGTGAATGTTAGGGCGTTAGCCAGGATATGGGAATTGCGCATTTTTCTTATATTTAGAGGCTACAAATAAACGGAAGTCTAATTTCTGAGACGTACGCACATTTTAATCGATTGTTTTAAACGTCATCAAGTCCACGCGCGACTTACCCTGGGTTCCAGAGGTTATTTATTTCTTTTCTGATTCCTCATCTTAGGTATTTCGCGCGAGAACGGACCTCTGGAACCAGGATACGAGCGACTGGCTCAGAGAAAATAATTTAGAATATTGTAATGGCGATTGACAACGCTGAATAAACGTTTGCTGACCTCTCCGAAAACCAACTTCCGGTAAATTTCAAGTGTTTAATTGGACTAAAAATAACTTTGGTGAAATTCACATATCTATAATAGAGGTGTTAGAACAGGCGTTTGCCTTCTTTATCTCATTATTCTCCCTTGTACTTGAAGTAATGGGAAAAATTGACGCACCGTCTTCTGCAACTTTCTCGACACCCGGTGAGGCCTTGGTCATATCACTCCACATTTTGTATTTGTACGAGTGTGTAGCAATGACGAGAGGAGAGAAGTGGGCCCCACTCGGCCATCCATTGGGGTGGGTAGCCTGTGACCACTTCGCTTCAAACTTGACTGTGTAGTAGTACATGCCACTGCATTGATTCATGGTTGGTTTGTTTTGTCTCACGAACATCATCTTACCCAGTGATGGTATTGCTGACGCGGAAAGTTTCATAAAATCTGTTGGCGGTGCAGTTGTAGTGATCATGCTGATATAACCGGGGGGCATAGTCGGATTATCCGTAGCCCTGAAAGTTGTCCCGTTGTCGGTGCCGGCATCCCAGGGTTGTATATCATCAATTGTCCAACTGTCCATCCACATTCCACTCGAAGCATTACAAAGAGATACTTTCATGATCCCGGTGAACCAATCGGGAGATGGAGCGAGCATAGTTACGAGAGACACATAAGGAAAGTCCTTTGTGACCTCGACTTCGATGTTCATCACCCTTTCTGTGCCGTTTATTGCCATATTACCGGACTTGATCTGTTTCCAGGCTGTCTTGGTAGACGTGATACGTTGCATTATTTCTTGCTCCAGCACGGTTGAGTCACCTTATTAAAAATGGAATGAAAAAATGAGAATTGGTAGGCACGAAGCTAGGTTAAATGCGTAACTATAAAAAACTTAACTATGAGGTAAAAATTTGCAAGCGTAACCCGCTTTATCTGCCCGCCGCAACTCGATTGGGAGGCTATTCCACAGCACTGCACCCCTATAGCTATTAATAGCTCTTTTTTAGGTAGTTTGTGTGGGGCTGAGGAATCGGAGCCAGTTTGCTGTCAGTGTCTCTTAGCGAATATGAGGTGACACTATCACGGTCTGAGTAAGGTTAATGAAGTAATCTGGAGCAAGACCGTTTATTGATTTTTATAAAATAACTAATATAGTACGCACCTTCTGATTGGTTGAAAACCTATGGTTTATTGTGCCGGTACTGCTCATAGAATGACTGAAACATGCTTTAAAGTTATTTTATCTAATATTCATTAGTGATCGAGTTGGTTCACTAATTAGCTGATTTAGAGCTCAGTGATGCGAGTTGTTTTTTGATCCTAAGTGGACTCTCCCACATTACAGTTTATATCTCCCAAAATATGGCATTCCATATTCTCGGCATCAAGAGACTGCGCAATGCGAGGATAAACAGGCTTTGACTTCTTTGATATCATTTCAAAATTGAGCGTTTCATCGCGGCAGCCATATTGATGCTTTAAGGCGATGAAAAGGCGGTTGGTCTTTCAGGCTATTTAAGCTGGCTCTCTTTTGAAAATGCCTTAATCGGCTTGGGTTGCAGCTTGTCCTAAGCAGCTAATGCTATCCCGGTGAAGACGTTTTGAAAACGGTCTACAGATTCAGGAAATTTTCGTAAATGTACTGGGTTCAAGTGCCGGCTGAATCACTTTCCCACTCATTTCCTTAGTTGTGTTTTTTTTTCCTTTTTCCCAAATTATAAAAACAGTACTCCAACCAAAGCCCGTTAATACAGACAGTGAAGGGATCGCAGAGAGTGTCGGTATCACCCTCGTTATGTTATTAAAGTTAACTGAAAAAACCATAAGTTTTACTAGAACAAAATACCTAAGAAATAAAAGAGGACATAAGCATCGTCAAATTAAACTTCTCTAACTTTTACGATGCTGTCTTTACGGGGCTTAAGTCCACGGGCACACTTAAAAATCGCTCATTCATAATATTACTTAATCACAATCCTTTTCTGCATCTCGTTTGATGCCAAAAAGTGACGTTCACAAATCATCTTATAACAGTAACGTTGAAAACATCGACACGCTAGCAACTGAATGATTTTTTACCTTCAAAAGAGAGGAGAAGTGTGACGTCAAGTTACCATGGTAGCCAAATTTCTGGATGACAACAGTAGGGGCGAGATTAGGGACCTTAAGATCCGAGGACGGCGCCGGCAGAGAAAGCATCGCTGAAAAAGTGAATTCGCGTTCTTTCAATCTTCATCGCGATTGCTCCAAGTCACTACCTTTGTCAACTGTAGGCGAACCCTCCTAAAGTTGAATTCCTAAGAACCGTATCCAAGTTCAGAAAGAGAGAGGAAATTTCGTCGTCGCTTGTGTACTTCCTCTGTAAAACGTAAAATTAGGCATTTTCACGTCGTAGTCGTGCAGTGACGGCAAAGAAATGTACAAAAAAGCGTGATGCACATGCAAAATTGTTGTTTTGCTAATTAAACCTTTTGCTTTTGTGGCGTTCCCGTTGCCGTCGCCGTCGTCGGATCTTAAGGTCCCTATTAAGCAACGACGACAGCGACAGTGACGCGAACGCCAAACAAACCCCGACAGGTTTAGATTAGCAAAACAACAACTTTGCACGTGCATCACGCTTTTTTTGTACATTTCTTAGCCGCCGTTGCACGACTGGGGCATGAAACCTCCTAATTTCTTGCGCCCGCTTTACGGAGTAGGCGAACACAACTCAGAAAGTTTCTTTTTCTTTTTCTAAACTCACATACGGTCCTTTCGGATTAAATGTAGAAAATTTCGCCAACATTTGACAAATTAAATGAAATTGAATAAGATCGATGAAGTTTGAAACAGTGCGAATTTACTTTTTAAGAGAATTTTCGGTTTGTTGTCATCCAAAACTTTTGCTACCATGGCAACGTGACCTTACAACTTCTCCTCTCTATTACAGCGGGTTCGCTGTATATCGCTGTCAATCGCCATCCGAGGGAATTATTGCAATCAGTTGCTTAGATTACCCTCCCCACCCCTGACTGATTTCTTTTTCAATTCATTGGGAGATAGGGCCGTGCAACACTGATCGACTGGGGGATAGAAAGGTAATTTGTATTGCTCAAAATACCGCCATCAGAGAAGTAGTTTGGTTAAGTGGCCGAGTGGTCTAGGCATCAGACTAGTAGACTGTACGCCCGCTCCGGGCTCCACAGCAGAAATTTCAGGGCTCCAGGGACCCCCCCTTTGGGACCCTGTTCAGTTCCTGGTTGAGCCACAATTTCACTGAAAGCACTAAAGCAATGGGGACTTTAAGATACTGTAGTGTATTCATTGTTACCGTAGTAACCAATAATCAGTGAAATCACTTGTAGAGTAAAGACTGACGTTTTTGAGCGACACACTTCAACCTAGCCTGCGTGCAGACGATAACTAAACCCTGATTAGTACCGTCTGCGAAGCAGCGCAGAGATCCTTGTTAACCAGAGTTTAATTTCGTCTGCGCGCAGGCTAACTTCAACCGGATGTTTACCGCTTTAGTGCGATTATCCCGACTTCCTCATTTTGTCAAAAAGTGTAGATGGACTTTCCTGGAGATGAATTCCTAAGAAAATATCCAATTTCAAAACCAAGAGAAAGATAAATTTGTCACCGGGTTTGTTTAGTTCTCGATAATTAATACGTTAAATATGGAAACTCTCACGTCGTGGGCCCGCAGTGATGGCAATGAAATGTATCAAAAGTGTGACGCACGTGCAAAGTTGTTTTTTTGCTCATCTAAACTATTCCTTTTTTGAAGTTCTCGTTGCCTTAGCCACCGTGACGTCTAAAACTCCCTAGTAATAGAAACAGATGAGTTGACCCACGCACGCATGGTACTGTGACTCGTCATGAAACAAGCAAGGCCTTCTATAAGAGTCCGGACTACTTTCTACTGTTCAGTGAAAA